GGCCGACCCACGAACAACAAATCGAACTGTTCGTAAACATACGGGAACAAGCCGCCCGAACTCAGCCTTTAAGTCCAATGGCCAGGATCAACCACTAAAATGAAAATGATGTGCATACTGGATACGCATGTGACTCGGAAAACATAACGAGCCCATCGGCTACATATTATTTGTTGTGATTCTTTCTGCGCGCTTCTAATGAAATAACTATTAGAAAGGTGGCTTTGATCGGCAACGGGAGCAAGATTAATTTTACTTTTCTCTTGCACATATTGCTTCTGTCGCAATAAGTTTTCTGAACATTATTGACATCCGGTCATGTACAGTGTGTATTTGTCGAGTTCGCACTGACTTACGCACGTGTTATGCATGTGCAATGTACATTGTACATGTGGTTCTCTTATTTCTCCTGCAAAAACCATGATGCAGTCTTCAGTTAAGTTGACAGCGTGTACTCAATTTTGCATCTCAAGGTTGTACGTGTGAGCATTTCCTAGGGGAGATATGTTACCCCAGAATGTTAACCATGTATGCAGTTTCCTGGAAAAAAAACCCTCGCCATGCCTAGATAGGTGTAGAATTGAGGACGCACCTTCTGTCGTGTGCCGGGGCATTTGGACGCACTGCGACCGCGGCCGGACGTCCACGCGGTGCAGTGACGGCGGCGCGCGACTGGGCGCTGTTTCGCGGTGGGAAGAGGGCGAGGATGGGCTGGATGCAAGCGTGACAACGACTGCAATCGAGCAGATCCAATAGTTACAACTTCGCAGAAAGACACCGCACGGTTGGGTGGCAAGAGAATCTATAGTCGCAAACTCCAGACTACAGTCTAGACTCCAGACTCTTCACCACAGCAACCTATAGGCCTATATGTGCACAAGAAGAACAATTCCAAAATTTCCCAGCCTTTACAGAAGTCCATCAAATCGACGATGGCGTCGGTGTCCCCGGAGGTTGTGCAGCCCCCCAAAGATGGAGTCACAGGTGTGAGGCCGCACTGTTGGCAGTGGAGTGAAGTCAGGTCTTCTCTCCTTGCGGACCTGCCGCTTCTGGTCCTGATGATGCAAGCGCCTCTCCTCAACGTACGCTTGTTTGAATAATGGCGAGCGAATGCGAAGACTGAATTTCAGGCGATGGTTTCAAATCTTCAAAAAGGGACGGGAAAGTTAACTAAAAAAGTTTGATCGACAAAACTCACCATGAAAATCGGTTATAAAGTATGATCGAAATAGCCTAAAAGTTTAATAGCATGTGCAACGAGAACATGACGTGACAATTGCTTGGATATTAGAAATTTGGCGGATGCAGTGTCATGCAGCCGAGTGAGACCCAAACTCAGAAAGTTGCCTGACAACTTATGCCAAACTGCGGTTACCAGTTTCTTGTCGAAATGCGGAGGTGGACTTTAGAAATTTGGAAACTGTGTGCATGTGTGACTGTGAGTGTTTGACGGTACCAACTTGTACGTGGGTCGGCCTATAACGCGTCTTTATTCATGTCTGTATTCCGTGTGATGGATGAAGAGTTCTCTAGGAGCTCTCACGTCGCGAGAGGGGATGTTTTAACATTAAAAGTGACATGGATTTCAGGGCTTGTATTTGTGTATAATGTGCAGGGTTGACTTATCGAAGGGGCTACTTGTCATTGAGCCTCGATCGCCCCTGCATTTATAGGGATTCAAATGTTAAACTATACATGCTCTGTAAGATATCAATATGGATGCATGGGCATGGAGTGCGCCCTTTCTCCATGCTTTCTTCTGTTGGGTGTCCCTATGGTGGCATATACATCAGTCGTTGGACAACTTGAAAATCCCCCTAAAACTGCTGCATGAGTTGACAAGACGTAAAGTGAGGCAACAGGTAGGGGTGGGCTTTGCAGGGACAGCCCGTGGGTCGCTACGCCTGTCTAGCAAGGCCAAGTTGAATGGTCGACCACCCGCCCCCGGTATACACTGAACCGTGAAAAATTGTCTGCGCCGGTTCGAGCTAGCCAGCGGTCAGCCCATCTGTCAGGTTCGGTTAAAAAGCCCACAGTTTGGGAAAATATACATATTGAACTCGTATTAATTAATCTGAATATAACACGAAGCGAGGCATGTGACAAAAACGTGTCGGGGTTGCGGTGGGTGAGTTTATTGTATAGTGCTGAAGTCGCGGTTGTGTGTCATATGCGTCATATGGGTGAGCTGTCTTACTGTTCGTCATTTGTTTGCCTTTTCTGTTGTTGAATGCATTATTCATACGAAAAAAAGAGTTGACAGGGGTCGTTGGCCTCAACTTTCCAGCTCCAGGAAACGGCCCATGTGCCTAACTTCAAGTTATATTGAAACAGACTCTGAAAAGAGCAAGGAGGTTTTTTAATGAAATTATATCGTGAATTCTTTATTGGCGGTCCTGGAGTTATTACGTCGTAGTTGCAGGAGATGGTCCGTAGGTAGATGCCTAGGCAATGTGTGAGACATTTCAGGAGTTCGTAGCACCTGATGAAAACAAGCAACAAAGACTGCATGAGCGACTTACAGCCGACAAGGACCTCAGGAACAAACCCAACACAGCAATGTTTCGTTTAGCGTGGTTACTGTCCGCGCGACCAGCTGTGGACGCCGAACTTTGTTGCAAAGCACTAAACTCGTCCGCTGTTTCTAGCTCACAACCACGGCTGTCTGAGGCCCTAGCGACACTACGTTTTTGTGAAAACCATCAATAATTACTCCTTTCAGAGCTACGAGGGTCTGAAATGTGCTACCCACATTAAGTACCCATTGCACGGATAACCGATCCTAGCTCGCCTGAAGAATAAAGATCTCAACGCCATTGGACCATTAAAATGTTTACCAGTCTGGCAACACGCCAAAGCTCATGATAACTTTTTAATTTTCTCGGACCGTCGTCCCGACCAACGCTGAGGTTTTTCTTTCGCCCCAGCCGTTCTTTTCTTTTCCCGTCAGTTTTTTTTTTTTTGGTGGGGGGGGCGTTCATGCACACAGGGGGGAGGATTGAAATGGACGAAAATTCGGGATCATGCCGGCCGGCGTTCACTCGCTGGCGTTTGGCAGACCTCCCAGTTACGGGCCGGCCGTACGCCTGCAGATTGTCCGGCCGCTCACACCTGCACGAGCCGCCGATTTCCCGGCACCGTGTCCCCTTACAAATCGCAGACGTCTTGGCGGACTTACCCAGCTGCCGGGGTGGGGTATTTACGGGGGCGATAGGACACAAACGGCTGTGGGTCTTAGACACGCAAAAGCTATAGGCCTGGCAGGGAGGGGTTTTGGTTACGTATCAAGGTCTTACTCAGTGCTCGCGTCTTTCTTCACCACTTGCTGGGCCAGCCCTGGCTTTCACTCGGATGTGTATGTATAATTCCAGGGCTTTTTGTTTTCCTGAATGTTGTAATAAGAACTGATTTGTTTTGTTGTGTTTTCTGGGTTTTTTTTTGTTGGATTGGTTTGTTCTCGCTCCTGCATTGTCGAGTTACAGTGTCCCCGTCTTTCTGATCTGAATCTGCTCATTAAATTACAATTCATCACACTTGACGGAGGAACATGGGAACGGACAATCCGGTGCCCACGAGTGTAGTACACTCAAAGTGATTAAGTACCGGTACAATTAATGGTCATTCCAGTTTTTCCCCCCATTTTCGCTCTTTTATGTCGTCCCCTGCTGACCTGTGGGGGGAAAATTTCTCCCGTGCGCTGCTGGCTATTGAATGCTTTGTGGGTGTTTTCATCCACTGCAGCGGGGAGCTACCGAGACATCAAGCCCCATTTGGAGCACCGCGCGGTCTCCCCCCCCTCCGAAATCTGCGCCGGCCATTCATGCCAAGATTGCAGGGAAGTATTGCATTACGGGCCCCGGCCCCCCGCTTACTCCCTCGCTCCCATTGTACCCCTTGCACCTCGCCCGTTAATCCTTATTAATTGCTGCTTCTTCTATTTCCATGCCAGCGGTGCTAAAACGGTTTCATCCACCACTTTCTCCCCTCCTTTCTCCTTCCCTGACTGTAGTGCTTAGAAATCGCGGAGTTTTGTTTAAAAAAAAAAAGTTTTGTTGTCATCGCTAGTGACGCTGGAACGAGCGTGTCCACGGACTAATAGCCGTGGGCGATGTGCCTCGCGAGACCCCGGTCTTATGCACGAGCGGCCAAAATGATCAGCCGGCGCTCTTATGATGGGATGAACGGTTGCCAAAGTCCCCCTGT